ATGCTCTCTCGAACACAAGAGAAACCTGATGGCTAACAAGCACAGAAAGATCAATAAGACATCAATTTTCACTGAATAAACAGCTCAATTAATCTGTATAACTAATAGTTTTGTCAGTGGTTTCTTCTGTCCTCGGAGCTCAGGCATTAATCATTTCTGATAGGAGTGTGAGTGGAGGAATTAATGTCAAATGAAACAAATGTTTATTGTATGTTCATAACCATGTACCCTCCTCTCCAAAACCCCGTGTCCCCATGTGTACAATTCCAATTCCAGTCACTGAGTTGACAGCAAAAGAATGTTGTAAAAGATAGGTGCCTCATTCACTACTGGCATATCAAGTAGATGCTGGTGAAACAAGTATCTTCTGTTTCAGAAAACCGTGGCAGAAATTTCCATTCCCAGCTTCAACATCTGTCGGTCATCTCTTTGAGAAGAATCACCAATGGCCTTCCGGTCAAAAGCACTATCCTGTTCTCTATCTCATCATTTCCTAAGGATTGCTTATTTCTTCACTGGCTGCCAGAATCTGCTAAGCTTCCTCACTTCCCCAGTTGTCCCCTGCTCTTTGATTGGCTGCTGCTTACCTGATTTTGACAGGCCTCCTTATTTCTGTTCTATTCACATGGCTTTATTCTCACCATGCACTATGCCCAATTATACCCTAAAGCAGTGGTTCTCAACCTTCCTAATGCCACGACCCTTTAATATAGTTCCTTCATGCTGTGGTGACCTCCCCCCATAAAATTATTTTTGTTGCTTAATTCATAACTGCAATTTTGCTACTGTCATGAAGGGGTCGCGACCCACAGGTTGAGAACCACTACGCCTAAAGGAATCATCTACACTTGAGAACTAGTAATTTTTCCTCTTCATGTTTGCCAAGACCCACAATGTTCTAAAAGCTAAACAGCCCACACTGACCAGTCACACTCTAAGACGCAAGTCTACACCTTGTTAGCATTCTGGGCACCCTATGTTTCAGCCCTATCTTTCCACTCAAAGCTAGAGGAGCGCTCACAAAATCTTTTTTTCTGGCAGGCAAATCTTGCCTCTGTTGCCTAAACTTGCCTTGCTCATTCTTGTCTCTGTGCCTTTGCTCTCGGGTCATTACTTCTTCCTCAAAGAATCAATGCTCTCCTCTCCCCTACCACCATCCACTCATTCCAAAAAAAACAAAAAACAAATCATAGGCTTCTTCCTTCAGTCTCCCTCCCCAATGAAGTAGTCCCTAATCACCAACCTTCCTGGGATCCTTCATTCCTCTAAATTCCTATATTTGCCTACCACTCATCTGACACTTAGTAACTAGCAGTGCGTTACAGTTGTTTACCTTCTGATCTTTTTACATGACAGTCATTTCCTCATGAGCATGAACCATAAAGTTCTCTCTTGTAAATTAAATATCACAACACTAGACAGCACTAGAGGAAAGTTTTCAGAAATAAAGTTCTCCTAACAAGAAGAATCACCTTCACTTTTTCATTTTTGTCTAGCCCTTATTAATTCCGGTATGCACTTTTCCATAGTAATAATCCTAACGGTAAATTCATTCAGTTTATAATAGTTTACAAGCTGTATAAATGCATTATACAGTTACATAGTTTTACATTCTGATTTTTCCACTAACATAAAAATTTCTCCCTTACTATTAGATGGTTTTAATCTTCATCATTGTTAATAGCTACATAATAGTCTTTCCACTGAGATAGACCATGATGCACTCTATAAAATATGATCACATTTTACATCTTTCACTGCACAAGCATTGTAAAATGCACAAAACAAATTGTTAATACTTATTAAAATAAACTTATTTTCCATGTTCCCAAATAAACTGGAATAACAGAACTCATTATTTCTTCCTACCTAGCTAAATTCCTGGGAGCCCTGGTATCAACAGTGATAACAGGTTGTTGGGCTGCTAATCGCAAAGTCAGCAGTTCAAAAGCACCACCTGCTATAAGGGAGAAAGATGAGGTTTTCTAATCCTTTAAAGAGTTAAGGTCACCAGTTCAAAACCACCAGCTGCTTTATAGGAGACAAATGGGGCTTTATACGTCCTTAAAGAGTTGCAGTTTTGGAAAACCACAGGGATAGTGCTATGGGTCTTATAGAGTCAGAATCAACTCAAAGGCATCGAGGGAATGAAATGAATTCCTAGTATAATTTCTGGTCCCCTCATCTTGGGCTAGGTAGGTAGCAAAGGTATTTTCCAAACCTTTCTTATGTAAATTTATTTTGGTAGTTGAACTTACACATAATTTAAACTAGAAAGATCCTTGAGCAAAGACAGTAAGATCCCATAGGATCTAATATAAACTAGATGTTCAATAAATATTCATTTAGTTTTTACAGTTATGAAATGTCAAATTCCTAGAGGAGAGTAAGCTGATCTTACTAGTACAGTCAATTATGCTTGTAAAACTTCACTTAATAATTTGATTTGTTAATAATGTATGACTAGGTATTCTTTACAGTCCTTGGAAGAACACACAGGAGTTATCTACTAAGTTGTACAAGGCAAAAAGATAACATTAAAAGACAAACAAAATCTATAAGTAGAATCTCAAGATCTCATGACAAAAGAAGTTTGCCCTTTTTATTTTAAGTTCATATTTCAGATGAAGGAAAAAAATGTCATGATATTAAAACTGTAAAATTACAGACTAATTTTAATTATCCATGCTAATAATTTTCAAAGTATTTTTCAGGAAAAAAATCCCCAAATATATGCATGTCAGGAAACCTTACATTAGGTTAGATATGTCACTCAAGGAATTGAGGAAGCAGTTTTGACCACAAATAATGTACTTCCATTTATAAGACAAAATTTCTGGGTGGTTTAAGTGTTTTGATTGCTAACCAAAAGGCAGGAGGCTCGAGTCCATCCACAGTTGCCCTGAAATCACCCCCTGACAACTCGATGGTGCAAGTTCTCACCTGACACACAGGATGTCACTCTGCGTTAGAAATGACTCAACAGCAACAGGCTTATTTATGAGGTGCTGGAATCGATATACAAACCTTAATTTTAAACTGAGCATGCCTCAAGAAATAACATCCCTTCCATAGCTAAAGTACTCTGAGCATCCCTCGAAACTCTAATAGTGACAACATTATAATCCTATCAACAGGATCTTTTAAATAAATAAAATGGCATAGCATTTCCTCTCAAACATGAAAGGGACAGAGATAAAGGGGGAAGAGAAGGAAAGATTCTAATGATCTAAGACATCATTTCATGGCGGGTAGTTAGTGGCCTCTTTTTTGCACTGACCTTTCCGTGCTTTTTGTGAAAAGAAAAATTTAAGAATGTGCTGAAATAGCTCTTTCAGAACCAATTCCCAGACACGTTGTGCTTTATTTGGCTTTTTTCCCCCTTCATCACTGTGATGGTAATCAACTTGAGGTTCAGTAAAATCATAAAGATGCCTGAATATTTAGCAAAAAGCCTTTGGAGAGTTTCAGAGTTCACCAAGTTACTCTGTCTTGTCAGAGCATGGAACTGGGGAAATAAGGGCTGGAGCCTCCAAACATGTACTAGCTAAGCAGTTATATTTTCAGTTCTTTGGGAATTTAGCATAAAGCTCTTCCACACTACCAGCCAGCCTTATTCGGACCTAGCCCTGTGGAAACAGCAGGGACAGGGGCACAAGCCAACTCCAGTAAGAGAGAAGGTAGATCAAAGAATAACAAACAAGACAGCAGAGCAGAGGAAAACTGGAAAACCACCTATAATTTCTACATGGACCTAAAAACACTTGATGGAAACAAAGAAGCTTCATAAACAACTTAGAAGATGATACACCTACTTGCAAAAGATTCTAGTTAAACTTGTCAACTGCAAAGTCAACTCCTGGGATCATCCTAGTAACCTAATTGTAACACAGTTATGTAAGGGCTTTCCAATATATTATCTCATTTAAAGTGCCTTGCCCACAGTCTCACTGATACTAAGTATCAAAGCCAAGACCAAGTCCATCTCCTGTTCTGACATCCAGTTGGGGTTCTGACCACGCCATTTGATTGTCTGGAGATGACCTAAAATATACCAGGCTTATTCGATTTCTCTGCCCTCCCTTACATAATTATGAGAATGTTCGAAAGATACAATTTCACAAGAATCTTGGCACTAAGACTATTTATTGTTGAGAAATGCCGGGCATGATGACTTAAGACACAAACAAAAAAGTCTTAAATCACACACACACACACACACACACACACACACACACACACACACAGATGGTGAAGAAGGCATCCCTCCACCATCACCACCCACCTCCACCTCTAGTCCAAAGTATTTACAACTCCTTATCGCGCAGTTCAGGTTAAAAGAATATAAAAGGGAAACCCAGCAGAGGCACTCTGGGGCTGGAGGCTTTCTTGGGAAGAGTAGACCAAATTCCCTTCTTCCTGCCACGAAACTGCACTGCTGGGGGAAGGGGGGGCCTCGGGGTCCCAGGGCGTCCCGCGCCCGCAGGAAGGAGAGGACCCAAGGGGCAGGGGCCGCTCTGACAGCTGGCAAGGACAGAGCAGGGAGAGAGGGAGCTGGCGAGGGGCGCGCGGGTGAGGGAAGAGGAAGCGAGCCTGGGGCGAAGGACAAGGGCGCTCTCCTGGAAGGGCCAGGGGAGGCTGGGGGCGAAAGGTCGCCAGAGGCGGGGCCGG